ACAGACAGCCAAGGAGATAGAAAAGCAAAAGGGAGTCTCTGAAAGACAGAAGGCCCACAAAATTTTACACAGAATCTCGGGGGCAGAAGGGAGGATGGAAGAGAGTTGAAACGTAATACTCTCCAAGCTGGGGCTAGTGCTTCCTGCTCAAACAAACATGAGTTTGTCTCTGACCCTACCTCAAGATTCCAAGGAGGTGAGTCTCCATAGACTGTGGTGGAAGGATAAGGAAGAAAAGAAGAAGGAAGTGGGCATTAATTGAGTGCTATTACATGTCACTTACTATCCCATCTACAGCCTCATTTAATAGGTCATTGGGTATGACAGGCTGAGATCTTTGCTCCCATTTCCACTGTATTTTATCAGTCGTCATGCCCTTAGTGGTTAGTCCCAAAACATGCATACAGTACATGTTAATAAAGACTGTTGAATGAGTGTGACATACAAGGCTTGGAGAGTTCAGTGGTCCAGTGTGACACAGAGCACAAATCAAGGAGGAAGGATTTGAATTCAGAATGCTGTGACCCCATTCCACAGTGCTAAGAAATGTCTGCTCGCTCAGCCCTTAGTCCAGTAACTCCAGACAAGACCATAGGAGAAGACACCCAGCCCATTTCTCTGATTTGAAGCCAGCTCCCATTCTGTCTTGGTGGAAGAGTTCAGCTGTATATCTGGCATAGCAAACAACAGTCCCAGCTTTGTCTGCCACCTTTGGCAATTTTTATACTTTCTTGTGCACAAAATAAATTGTACATTCTCACTTTAAGTTTTTGGGAAAAGGCCAAATTAATTACAAAGGCCATCTTGCCTTGGTGCAGAGTGAGAGGAGATGTTCACTGGGAAAAGGATTAATCTTGACTAATTATTTCACTTATGCATCTTGGTTCCAATTGAGACAACATTTGTAACAGCACAACTTTTCCAGAAGTAGCTCCCACGTACCCCAAATAGATAATTCTGGGGTTTTATGGGCTGCTCCCAGCCTGAGCCATCTGATGATGCCTTTAGAAAAATGCCAGTCCATATCTTAGAATCTCACACAGGGGAGATGACAAATGGGAAACCACTTCATTCACTGTTTTTCTGAAGGTCAATCAACTCACACTTGCGAAATGAGCATAGTCCGACGTTGGACACAGGCCTGCCTGCAGTGGCCGTATATGCAGGCTGCCTGTTAGAATCAGGCAGGACGTTGTTTAAAATTAAGGCCCCTGGGTCCCACCCTGGACCTACGGAGTCAGATATAAAAAATGGGGTCTGGAAATCTACAGGGTCTGGCAGAAGTAAGGCTTGCTTGAGTATGGTTGGTAGGGTACATGAACGTCTTGCATGAGATGAACAGCAATTTGAACATTTTACCTAAAATATCATACGGTGTGCTTGAGTGTGATATTGTTATGTTACAGAATTGTATGCTTATGATTTTGTAATAAAAGATTTTGTAATAAGAAAGGGGTGTTTTTTGTGCTAGACCCTGTATAATTTCAACACAGAAGATTTTGACTTGGAAAGGCTTTGGTGTGCTACGTCCCAACTCTGTACTTAAAAGCTGCGTTATTCTAGGGAAGCTGTTTAGTATTTCTCAGACAGTTTCCCAGAGCTGAAAAAAATGGGCGCATAGTAACTCTCTTGAAGGGGTAGAGTTGGTTGTGCAGATGAACGGAGGCCCCAAACCATAACGAAGGCTCATTAAATGGTACCCATTCCTATTAGTGAATGTGCCTGGGGTCTTTTCAAGGGGTTGATAAGAGCCAGGGAAAAAATTATAATGCTTTTACCCTGCAGAAAGTCCTTGCATCTTGAGCACTGTATCAGCACTCTTTCTGGGCCCTCTTCACACAGGTCTTCACTTTTTTCAGACTCCAAACTCTGCAAACCTCTCCTCTTCCCATGGTCCTCCCCTAAATAAACCATTAGACAATTCAAACTTGGGGGCTTCCGGAGCCTCCCTGTGGAAGGCAGACACATACCTCTGGGGGACAAGGAGCAAAGCCCTATGTTGGCAAAGTGGTCAAAAATGAGTCATTTCATTTGTGGAAAATGAACACAATATGATATTGCAAATGTTTCGCCTGGGGGAAAACAGCACACACAAACTCTCTAACAGGCTTCTGCTGGCAAAAACAGTTCCTGGGTGTTCTGGAAAACAGCCAGTCAGAAAGGTGGCAGCTAGGATTATTTGGTCTAGAGAAAAATCCCCTCACCCAGCAGGGATCCAGGTGGGGTGGGTACAGGAGGGTCTCTCAGGGTTCATTTCTATAACATTTAGCAAAGATATTCAATTCTTGGCATCCATTATACCTTATTTAGTCAGGCCATCGAAATCCAGTCTTTCTGAGTCGTCACATGCAGCCCCTCTGCCCACTAGTTTTGGTGAGGTTTTGTTGTGGGGGGGAGTGAAGGGGTTTGGTTTCTCCACTGAGCAGCTGGATGGTCCACTTTTTTCTTTCCTTTCTGTTTATGGCCTGAAAATATTTATGAGTCCTGAATCCATGTAAACAAGCATTAATTTGTGTTTGTTTTGTGCAAAGCATCATGCCTGGGCCTCCTGACTATCAAGGTGAATTCACTCCCCTAACGCCTGTTGGTGTCTGCTCTGTGCCTGGCTGGTGCTGCCCCACCTGTAGACAGAGACCCAGGTGCCTCATCCCGAGTAACTTTCTCTGCCCCAGGAAATAAAGACAAGTGCTCAAATCACTAGGACACAAAGCACAATAAACTTGGATATCAAAAGCAAGCACTAAAGGCAGAGTGTAAGCAGGAGGAATAGCACCTCAGCTGTAGCCCCTTGAAACTTCAGATGGGTTCTGAGAAAGGCTATGAGTTTGCTAAGTGGAGAGGGCAGGGAAACAGCACAATCACACACACCAGAGGTAGGCAGGGAATCAAAGAATGCCTTTAGAAGGGCCAGTAGCATTGTTTGGTGGGAGCAGCAGGTGCCCAGGGGTCTGGAACAGACTGGTCTGTACAGGTAAGAGGTGCCAGGTAGAGGGATCTCAATGAGCTCCAGCTACAGCAGGATAGACAACAGAGATCCTTGGGGTCAGAAGCAGAGGGTCACTGTAGGACTTGAATTTAGAATACTGCCTCTAGTGCTCTTGTGAGGGCAGAGATGCTATGCAATGAGATCTCATGGACACTTCCCTGAAAGGCAAATTTTGCAACTGTCCAGGGGCTGAAGCTTGGAGAGTGGGTGTGGGGCCCTCCAGGAGTCAGATCTGAATGGTGTGCCCCTGTGTCCATGCTCATGAGTACAGGATGAGATGTGTGACCAGGCTTGACACCCGTGGAGACAGCTCCCTGGGAGTGAGTCACAGTAGAGGTCCAGCACAGTAGAGGATGTGGTCAAGCCCTGACAAGAACACCTTAAAGTTCTAGTGATGTTTTTACCACAGTTCCCACCAAAAATCCACACAGGGAAGTGGACTAGAACTTAAATTCAGCCTTCTCTGCTTGAACTTATACTAGTTTTTTTCCTTTTCCCAGCTCCTCATGTGCATAATTTCTGCTAAAACTATTTGGCCTGAGCAGCAAACACATATTCATCTTTGCATACCAGCCCCTCAGTGTTCCGAGGCCACACAGGTCCAAGTACACACTGTTCCCCCCACTGATATGTCTTTCCCACACTTCTCCTATGAGGAGAATCATTCACCCTGTTCAGGGCAGAGTTCCAGCATTGCCCCTCCTACAAACACACTTTCCTGACAACCTACCACATCGAATGCTGAGTTGACAGTGTGGGTGAGGGGTGGGGCATGGCACTCAAGCTCTCTTCAGGGCTGAAATCTTGACACCCCATGAATTCACTCACCCCACACACATTTCCCAGCACCATTCAAGGGACAGACCTGGCTGGAAGACTGTATTCCCACCAAACGCCCAAAAGACTTGCCCCCATCCACCCTGCCTGGCCCCAGAAGCTATCTGAGCTAAAAAGCTTCTGATGCTGGATGGGTCACAGCCTAGGAACCCAGGCCACAACCCACCCCAATAGAAAGGAACAACCACCAAGCTGGCAAGAACCTATCAGAAATCAAAGCACATGATTGTGTTACCACCAGCATTTACATAGTTTTTAATAAAGGAAGGAGGAGCAAAGAGAATTAAACACGGAGTTTAATACACTGGGGAGCATGAGCATGTCTGCTTCGCCAGGAAGCTACATCACATTCCGGGAGATCACAGCATGGCTCAGCCAAGATGAGTAACACTCCTCCCTTCCCTGCTCTGGTACCAGATGACCAGGTGAGACCAGGGGAGGACAGGCACAGGCGCAACAGAACTCAAAATGGCACAGGGGAAGGTGCTTGACTAAGGAGGCCATCAGTCCAGCCTGGGAGAATAAGGAATTGCTTGGAACGTGGACCTATCAAAAGCCCATGAAAGCCTAAGAAATTGATTGCTCATGTTGAAAAACCACCTGGTCCATCCCAAACCCAAGCTAATTTAATCCCAGAAGAACAAAGAATCTCTTTCTCTCTGTTTCTCTCTCTCTCTCCCTTTCCCTCCCTCCCTCCCTCTCCTGGGAAGCCACGTTTGTGTCATTCTTTCACATGTTCTCTTTCCCTGGTCATGTAGCCTTAACATCTGTGTGGACAATGGTCAAGTGGACTCACATGCAGGCTCCAGGAAAAAGCCTAAATACTGCAGTACAGCAATGGACTGCAGTGGAGACACAGACTAAACTGGCCAGATACTGGACTGGACTGGACTTCAATATAGAGCAGAAACTCAGGGCAGTGACCTTTATTCTGGTCCTACTGAAGACAAGACTGGACATTTTCCATGGCAAGATGGACAAAGATGGGACATTGGGAAGTCAGGAGGGGAACCCCCTTAATTTTACATCATCAGTACAGATTACTACGGAACCCCATCATCCTGTGCAGGTCTCAGGAAATTCTTTTCCTCATGACACCACAAGAACACCACTTCCACAGATAACACTTTCACTGAAGCCCAGGACACAGATGCAGTAACAGGCTGATGACACATACCTGATGCTCTGGGAGCTTTTTCCTTCAGACCTGCAACGAGAAAGAACACATGCTTACAATATTGGTACTATCTGCTGCTGGAAACCCACACTAGGATGTTAAACGTGCAGACTTTGAGGTACCCAGCTACCTCAGTATCCAATCTCTTCTCCAGCCTCAAGCAGGCAACCTCCAGGACCAGGCCTCAGAGTCCCATGTTGCCTTCCTTTTGATCTCCCTTTCCATCCTAAAAGTCACCTCCTCCTGGAAGACTTAGCGTTTGTTTTCCACCCCTCACCTGACTGCAATTGTTTGCCCCGAATCTAAACATCCCGAGAGTTGGGGAATAACCCCAGAGGCATGGGCTATGATTCCAGAATTATGTGCCTAGACTCTACAAGGCAAAAACTGAATGAATAAAACAGGGAAGGAGGACTGTGCTTCTGGTCTCACTGCATCCCCTAGATCAGGGGCTCCCAACCTCCAGGCTGTGAACGGGCCTGTTAGGAACTAGGCCACATACCAAAAGGTGAGCTTGAATGTAATGAGCTTGAATCATCCTGAAACCATCCCTCCTCCCCCATCCATGGAAAAGTTGTCTTCCACCAAACAGGTCCCTGGTGCCAAAAAGGTCAGGGACCACTGCCCCAGGTGGTATTTGCAGTATATTTCCCCATTAACAGCTCTATTTTTGTGGTAGGCAGTTATACAGACATGAGCAAAACAAGGACAACGGGCCAGGTACAGAAGGTCACCAGGTGAGGTGAGCTTTTGCCAAAAGCCCTGGGTGCCTGGCAAAAGGCAAAAATAGGAAAACAAAGACCTCACCCCCAGGGCAACCTTTCCTCTCCTAGTATATCATTGGTCTTGCAGTTTGGTCTCCCTCTCCCAGTTTGGTCTCCCTCTCGCCCCCCCTCAACCTTCCAAGGCCTCTTCTTTGCCTCTGTAATTTGTTTACTGAGGCCATTTCTTCTACTGGTCACTTCTTCTACCTCTGTGACTTTCTAAAATAAAATTTCTCTTATAGTTTGAGTCCTGGCTCTGAATTCTTTCCTAGCCAGTACTCAAGTACTGAGGTTGTTGAACTGAGGTCTGGTCTGAACCCACTGGTCTGACACCTGGTGCCATTCTCACTGCCATCAAAAATTTTAAGTACCCAAAAATCAATTACACCATTTTACAAAGGAAAAAAGGCTTAATGTCAAGGAACTGAACAATCAGATTGTATCAGGCACTCTTAAACTTTCACAGAAATTGAAAAATACTTGGCATGCAATGCCCTACCACTCGGTAAAGCAAGAAAAGGGACTTTGGGGTTAAATTACACACAGCTGATCGCTAAAGGCTTAGTGGGGCTTCTGGAATCTGGAGGAGCCAAGGAGCAAACACACTTGGGAATCTAATCCCTGAACACCACAAATTGGATTTTATGCCAGAGAGCTTGACAAATAAAAACACAACCCAGTCAGACATCTTTCTTTTGGTACATCACCTTCTTGGTAATTTTGCAGACCAGCTGCAGGGCCCTGCCAGCACATACATTTCAGGGAATGGTTTCTGCCATGGAACTAACCTCGCCGATCTCAGGAGACCACCCTGTGCCCCCTTCCTGTGTCTGCCATTGCAGTGACCGATGTTATTCAGGCTGTGTCAGTGCCAAGTCCCGTTGTGAACTCAGATTTACTAACTCTACCCACTCCACTTACTCCCATCTAGGCCATCCTCCTGTCACAGCCTCAATAACCAGCTAGCAAACCAGACCCCATCTGTCCCATCAGAAGTCAGAACAGAGGGGACACACGGGCTTACAGGTGCTGCTAACATCTGGCTCCCGATATGGGTACTGGTTACTCAGGTATGCTATTGTGAAGTATAAGAAATCTCTATTCTATAAATCTATATCATTCAGATGACTAAAATACATTTCTCATACATATTTGGTCTTCATTCATGATTTCGGCTCAAAACTGGCAAACGCTTGGAACCTCCTGAGTGTTAAGAGCAATGGAACATCTTTTGTTACAATACATGGTCTCTTGTCTTCAGGTCCTAAAAACCCTTACAGCCATAAAGGTGAAATGGGTGTATTGTCATATATAACAACCCCTTTTCCACCACAGCTGGGTTTATGTTGACAAGGTGACTTTTAAAAAGCACCCAAGGATCGGGCTGGTTGCCAGGGAAACAAACAAACTGAGGGTTGGAACTTTCAGTTCCATGCCTTGATAAAGGGTCCTTGCAGGGGAGAGGGGCTGAAAGCTGAATTGATCACCAATGGCCATGAGTTAATCCAGCAATTTTCAACCTTTTTCCTCTCATGGCACACATAAACTAACTACTAAAGTTCTGTGACATGCCAGTTGAAAACAGCTGAGTCAATCAATCGGGTCCACGTCATGGAGCCTCCATAAAACCCAGATGGGTGTGGTTCAGAGCTTTCTCACTGGGGAACCAGGCCACTTCCACTTGGCATCCTGCAGGGCCCCCGGCTCTACGGGGACAGAGGCTCCTGGGTATGGGGCCTCGCGCTGTGTATTTCTTCATCTGGCTGCTGGTTCGTATCCTATAATACCCTTTGTAATCAACTCGTAATCTAGTGGGCAAATAGGTTTCCCGAGTCCTGAGACCCAGAGGGTTGTGGGACCCTCTGATTTAGGGCCAGTCTGTTATAGGTGGTAACGTGGTCTTGGGACCGGTGTCTCAAGTGGGGGTAGCCTTGTGGGACTGAACTCTGAAGCTATGGGGGCTGAGCTATCACCAGGGAGTTAGTGTCAGAAATGGATTAGATCGTAGGACACCCAGCAGGTGTCCGAGAATTGTGTGATGGCGTGGGAAGCCCTCAACAGGTCAGAATTAGATACCAGGATCTTAATCAGGTGAGCTCACAGTATAAATTCTCACCCTACCACACACTTAGGACACCAGCACTTTTTAGTATGTGTGCTATTCTATTTAAAAAAAAGTGAAAAAAGTATGAAAGGTGGGAGGAGGAGGTGGAACAGATGAGGTAAATTAGCTAAGAGCCGATAACTGTTGATGTTGGATACACGGGAGGGGTGTCATTATACTGTTTTCCTTCCTTCTGTGTATATTTGAAGTTTCCACAAGAAAGAGTTTTAAAAAATAAAACACAAGAGTGAATTTGGATACATGCATTACTGCTGTGGCAGGGGGTGAACAGGGCATGTGATCAGCTGGGGCTTGTCTGAGGTAGACCCTGAGAGGCTAAGCAAACTGTCCACCTCCCGCACCCATGTTCTGGAGATAGACTTACCTCAGATCTATTGCCATGACTCTGGTGCCACCTATCTGGGTGAGAGACTCTTCAGAGAATATGATCAAAGCCATGGACTTCACTCCAGAAAAATGTACACACTCAGCTGCAAACCCAGTCATGGGGCCCCTGGGCATTAGCCACAAAGGAACAAATCACAGATGGTGGCTTTGGGACAGCTGACCCCGACTTGCACAGCTTGTGTCTATTTGCGGTTGTGCTGGCTGAGGACAGACCTGGCCAATGTGCAGCTCAAGGGCAAGGAGATATACGGCCTACCAATGGTGCCAAGTTTTAGTGGTGGCAGGGTTTACTGTAGTGCCTGGCCTAGGGAAAATGGGATCTGTGTAGTGTCTGGGGCCAGGAGGTTGGGGAGATGCTGAGCTGTTGGTCAGAGGGTACAATGTTATGTAGGATGAACAAGTCTAGAGACCTAACGTACAGCATGATGACTACAGTTAACAACATCACACTGTACACTGGAAATCTGCTGAGAGTAGATGTCAGGTACTTGGGTGCACACACACACACACACACACACACACACACTGCAAATGAGGAGATGGCATGCTTGACTGTAAAATTCATTTCATTATGTGTATTTATACAAAAACATCATGTTGTAACCTTAAAAACATATCATTTTTATTTTTTTTAAAAAGGATAAGAACTGGTAATGTGAGTGGTCAGTAGCTATACCTAAACTCTGTGACTTCTACAATGGCAGAAATGACACTTTTGCCAGACTCGGGACTAAAAAGTTGGCATCTTGCCCTGGCTGGTGTGGCTTTTATTGAGTGCCAGCCTGCGAACCAAGGGGTCGCTGGTTCAATTCCCAGTCAGGGCACATGCCTGGGTTGGGGGCCAGGTCAGGTCCCCCGTAGGGGGCGCTCAAGAGGCAACCACACATTGGTGGTTCTCTCCCTCTTTTTCTGTCTCCCTTCTCCTCTAAAAATAAGTTCTAAAAAATGAAATACTAAAAAAAAAAAAAAAGACTGGCATCTTTTCCATCTGACTCTTAGAAACTAGTCACCATGCTGAGAGGAAGCCCACACAGCTACATGGGAGGACCGAGGCCCTTGGCCACCAGCCCGGCTGGGCTGCCAGCTGTCAGCCATTGTGAGCAAGGCCTGAACTGAAGGCACGTGGGGCTGAGAAGGCTTTCACTGTGAGCCCTGCCCACACTGTGAAATCCTGAGTAAATGCATGATGATTACTGTTTTAAATCACTAAATTTAGGGGTGGCTTGCTACCCAACAGAAAACCCAAACACTGTCTCACCCCTGGCCCCATGTGTGCCCCAATTCCTTAAACTCCCCTCACCCCATGTGATGGACTGATGTTTGCCTCTCCCCGAAACCCATATATTGAAGTCCTAACTCCCAGAGTGGCTGTATTTGAGATGGGGCCTGGGAGGAGATGCTAAAGGTTAAATGAAGTCAGAAGGCTGGCAGCCTGATCTGGCAGGACTGGTGCCCTTACAAAAAGAGGGAGAGACACCAGCACTTGCTCTCTCCACCACACAAGAACACAGCAAGAATGCAGCCGGCTGCAAACCAGGAAGGAAGTCCAAACCAGAAACTGACCTGCCGCACTTTAATCTAGGACTTCCAGCCTCCAGAACTGTGAGAAAATAAACTTATATGGTTTAAGCTGCTCATCTATGGTATTTTGTTATAGCAGCCAGAGCTGGCTAATATACCCTCTGCAGCCTCAAAGCCTTTGTACACCCTCTCCTCCTACCTGAAATGCTTTCCATAGTTAATACCTCCTGACC